AGAAAACATATGGGAAGAACACAGCGAAAGCCAAGTGCCATACAAGCAATGGTACGGGAACGTCCTGTGCCCTGCAGACGCTGTGATCAGGCAAAGGGCGGCCTGGAGTTGCTCTGTCACCTCACTGGAGGCTGTGGCACGTTCCATGCAGACGTGCTGTGTAGCTTTTCTGCAAGTCTAGGTATTCATCTCTACATCCTCTTTCTTGAAGGCCATTTCCCAAATCACACAACAAAGCTCTCTTCTCAGAGTACCAAGACTTCCCCAAAACATGGCATAGTGAAGATCCCCACATACCCGCTACCCTTCATTTTGCATGTGTGGTTCTAGTGCAAGTTATTCAAGTACAAGTAGAGGTATTCACAACTTCCTTTTATAAATAAAATATGCTCAGACACTGACAAACATTAGAAAAGATCCAGGTTTGGAAATACAAGCCCTGCCACTTAATTTCCCAAGTGCTTTGAGAGAAACATCAAAGTACCCGGAAGTGGCAGAGACAAGCTCCCCAGTGTCCCCTAAGCGGACAGCTAGCAGACACTGCACGAACAGACACATGGTGCAGGCATCACCAGATGTCACCAACACTAGACAGACCTCAACTCAAAAGTTCCAGATGCCAGTTCTTCAAAAATGTTTTGACCACTCCCCCACCCCACCACCATGAATTGTTATGGTTGGCAGGTAGGTACAGGACGGCTTAGGACTGACCTCTGCACAGTTCTCACCCTGCTCCCACTTATATCCATACACAGCTGCTGTTCCTGTTTATCTGTTTTCTGATTTCTTAATTTTAGAATCTGGTTCAAATGCACTCATTTTTGGCAAATTTTAAATTCATTAAACAGTCACTCTTCCAAAGAGAATTTCATTCCTATTGCCATTTGTTCTGTTTTGTCACAAGAAATGAGTTTAAAAGAGGCAACTCTCTATTTTCTGGAGAATGTAAAAGTAGGAATTCAGTGAGAATAAGTTGTTTTTACTACAGAGAGAGGGGATATCAAAACACTAGTAAATATGAACAAGTGATATTGAAGTCCTGCAAGCCTAAGGACTGCGTATAACTTGTTTAAGAACAAAGACGATACCTCTGAATAATATATAAGCATAATGAAATAATTCTGAGTAACCTCAAGGCAAGCCAAACTCAACTCAAATTAGTCACGACTAAAGAACAATGGAAAGCTCTGCGCTGTCACCGTATGCTACTATAAACTGTTAATATTTTTATCATATGTTATAGTGAGCATATAGTTACTGAAATTTTAAGTATTGATCTAAAAGGTTGTGTCCCTATTTTACAATTTCAAGACTAACAAATCTGCCCAAATGAACATCTGTGATATAGTCTGGTGAGAATTAACACCATCAAAGTCCCATTACTTTTCAATCATTTGTCGTTTTTGCTGAACTATGTTTAAAGAGGAAATGGCACTGGATGTGAAGAGTAGTTCCCGGTGTTTTAAAGAAGACAGAATGTTAGAACAAAGAGAAGAGAGGGAGGGTGCAGCAATGGATTTCAGGGGTCAGATTACAGTTCTACAGGTTAGGAGGCCAGGATGGGAATGTTTTTCAAGCATCTATTTTTCACCTAGCCTCTGAATCTGCTACAGTCACTCTACTCCCTAGATGCCTAAAGTAAAGCACTGTGATCACTAGATTTCTTGCTACCACCATGTATAAGACAAAGAAAAGTCTAGAAGAAAGTACCAATATGCATCTTTATTCTTTTTTATATATCAATTGTTGAAACTGCCTTTAAAACATCAAAAAGTATGTCTTTACTACTGTATATTGTTCCAGCAAACTATTAGTTTCAGTAAATGTGAGAAGTGTTATTCTTTATTTTCAAGAAAAGCAGAAAACTTCCTTAAAAAAAAAACGGCCCTCCCTGGTGGCGCAGTGGGTTAAAGCACAGCATTAAGAAGCTTAAGCCACTTCCGCATGAGTTCAATCCCTGCCTGCCCTGGAGGAGATCCACATGGCACAGCAGACTTCTGACCCGCCCGCTGCTCCCTCAGCAGTGTACTTCGTTGATCTGCCTGTTCTGCTCCCCACTCTGTCCCTGGTGAATCCTCTCACCCTCCCCATCTCTGGCCTATACCCCAGTTTTGTATGAATAAATAAATCTTTAAAAAAAAAAAAAAAAAAGCAAGGCTTCCCTGGTGGCGCAATGGATTAGGATGCAGCATTGCAAGCAAGCCAGGTCGCTTCAGTGAGAATTCTATCCCCATCCCCTGAGCAGACCCACATGGCAAGGCAGACCTCTCCTGACCGGCCCCCTGCTCCCCTCAGCAGTGTACTTCATCAGTAGGCCTGTTCTGCTCCCCACTGTCTCTGGTGAAGGCTCTCACTGCCCCTGCAACTCTGGCCTGTACCCCAGTTCTGTATACATAAATTTTAAAAAAGAAAACAAAAAGTCTTCTTCCATTAAACCCCCCCCCCAGTTCTGTATGCATAAATAAGTGAATCTTGAACACAAACAAACAAAAAAAAAGAAGCCTGGGATACAATAAGCAAATAAATTAAGAAATTTGTGCCTGTGAATTATGTGTTTATTTATAAAAAGAGAAACTCCAATGTCAAATAAAATACTTGGGGAAATTATTAAAATGTTTTCATGTATAAAGCACGTAATTTAGCCAGAGATCATTACCAATTAACATCATTCTTTGGCTCTTGTTGGATATTTAGAAAGTAGCATTAAAAAAAAAAAAAAGTCTAAAGGGAAAGAGAAAAGAATACTTTCTCAACTATATTTTAGAACACGCTCCTCAAAATTTCAGAGTATAAGAATGATGATTTTTGATTATGATACATAGAACTACCTATAAAATATTGTTTGTTTTGTGGGCTTGTGGAGTCTTCCTGTTGTGTTTTTGTTTTGCCTTTTTAGCTTTCTGTTTGCTTTTGGAGGAAGGGGCTCAATTAGCTGTCCTTCCAGTAGAAAGTGCTCAGACACAGGCCAGGAAGACTACCTCCAGCAGTGCTGGGAAGCTGGCCCACCAGTCTCCTCTCCTGCTGTCTGCATGACCTGAGCAAGTCCCCATGTTGAGGAGAAGACTCTCCCGCCTGACCTGATAAACTACACCAGCAACATCAGGTATCACCACCTCTAAAAGCAACTCAATTCAAAAGACAAAGTACAGCTATTATGGCAGCAAATTGGAAACACACGGCCTCACAGTCTCCCCAGAATAGAAGGCCACTCCAACACGACCCTACTGAAGCTTACCAAGCAGGAGTCAGTCTGTAGTTAAGAGTGCACTAAAAGTGCACATTTCTATAGTATGTAAGTACCTGGGAGGGGGCAAAGTAAATCTCGAAAACCAACTCCCAGGATGGAGGTGTAGAACAGAGGGTGTTCAATAACACGCAGTGGTTTCCTTCCTTCCAAAAGTGCGTGAGCTCCAGTGGGCTGCCCTCACAGAGCGCCCTCCGGCTGCTTGCTCCACCACTAAGCAATTCTCAGTGCACCCAGAGATGCAATGGTCTCAATGACAGCTTTTCAGCTGTGTTGCTAATAAAAAACATGAGGCTCTTCAAATGGCTAAAAACTACAGAGATCTAAAAATCTTTCCTGGATTCCACATCTATTAAAGAATAATACCAGGAATGGTCAAATGGACTTCAAAAACACTTTCAGAGATAATTGTTCCCCAATTTCTCTTACTGAAATTCACAAAAGCTCACAAATAGCAAGCCACTTTGAAAGCAATTCTCCTATTACCCAGCAGATTTCGGTAAAGCAGCCCTAAGCTCTGCACAATGGTTTATGGAGGTGAGATGCTCAGGTGACCACTCCTTATAGAATGCAGCTGTTCCAGGACAGTTGCATCCTTAGACAAAGCAGCAAATTAAAAAATAATAATAATTAAATAAAAAAAACAATGTCTTGGCCCTCCCTGGTGGTGCAGCAGGTTAAAGCACAGCACTGAGAAGCTAAAGCCACTTCCGCATGAGTTCGATTCCCGCCTGCACCAGAGGTGACCACGTGGTGTGGCAGACCTCTCCTGACCCACCCGCTGCTCCCCTCAACAGTGTACTTCGTCCATCTGCCTGTTCTGCTCCCCATTCTGTCTCTGGTGAAGCCTCTCGCCGCCCCTGAGCCTCTGGCCTGTACCCCAGGTCTGTATGCATAAATAAATAAATCTTTAAAAAAAAATTGTCTTTGTTTCATCATCTCTCTGAGATGCAGGCTTAATGCAAAGTAACCAAACAAAGCTACATAATCTTAAACTCTTATCTGAATTTAAGAGCTTAACATTTTAGAGTATTTTGAGCCTGTGGAAATGTCTATCTGTATTAAGTTGTTGTTTTTATCAGTAAGAGAGTACCCATTTATAGCATATTAAAATATGTGCGCAATGTCCACTATAACACTCCAGTGGGCATGTGACAGGGCTGGGTTTCTACCCAGGAGCAGCCAAACTCAGAGCTCTAAACTATAAGACATGCCATCAGCAAGCGTCCGCCAATTATCTCGGCCTCTCAAAACTTTTAGGATGAATTTGGCAATTCAAATCATACACTAACCCATCACTGATAACAGGATTTTTATTTAGAACATAGAGGAATTTACTCCATCCCAAGAGATGGTCTATGGGATTATATACTAATTATAGGTTGACTGCTGTCAAGTGTTAAGAAACATAAATGATTTTTTTAAACACATTTACTATGGAATGAAAACATCAGTATGTAACAAAAACCTCGTATTAACTGAAGTAGTCAAAAAGAAAAATACCTGAACTATACAAAGCTGACAATATTGAACTCAGAAATCAATGACAGAAACTGCACAGGGAGTTCCCCCTTCTCTCCATTTCCATTTGTGCCACTCAACACTGAAACAAAGGAAGAAAACCCACTGGGAAGAAGTTACAGCATCCACATTTGATAAATCAAAAATCTGCTATAAGAAACAGGTTTTCTAAGAACCAGTGCTTGAATAACTTATGCCTTGCCCACCCTGCCCTTTTGACAATTTTACAACTCACCTTATTCCACTTCAAAGTTACAATAAATCTTGTTTATGGGTCCAACCTGAGATACTCGTTCAAAACCTAGAATAAAATAAACAGGAACATTAGTATACAAGGTTATTTTGGGACTCTGGAAACATACAATAATACTTCAAAGCAGTAAGCTTAAAGGGGACTAGGGGAGAGCAGGAAGGGGAAAAATCACTGTTACAAACCATAACTGAAATGTTATATACTTTACCCTAAAACCCTCTAATTTGTAATCTCTGCTTGTGCAATTCAACATACATTTAAATTTAAGGCCTTCAACAAGCCAAACACTCCCACTCAAACAACAAACTCTTTTTTTTCTTTTTAAAGATTTATTTATTTGTACATATAGAACTGGGGTACAGGCCAGAGGCTCAGGGGTGGCAAGAGGCTTCACCAGAGACAGAGTGGGGAGCAGAACAGGCAGATGGACGAAGTACACTGCTGAGGGGAGCAGCGGGCAGGTCAGGAGAGGTCTGCCAGGCCATGTGGTCACCTCCAGGGCAGGCGGGGATCAAACTCATGAGGAAGTGGCTTTAGCTTCTCAGTGCAGTGCTCCAATCAGCTGCACCACCAGGGAGGGCCTCAAAACAACAGCCTCGCTCTGCACCATGCACAGTGACCTGCTCAGAAGTCCTGGGAGAAACCCAGGAGCCAGTACATGCCAGACACTCCACAGGCAATTTTGCTATAGCCAGCACTCATCATCTCCCTAAGGGAACCCCTGTTCCAAACCAATTATGTCCCCCAGGAGACATCATGCCAGGTCTGAAGACATTTTTGGTGGTGAGCACAGTGGAGAGGCACATTAAGAGGCAGGGGCCAGGGATGTTGCTAACTGCCTAAAATGCACAAGTCAGCCCCTCACAACAAAGTGTGTCTGGCCCCAAATGACAACAGTAGTGAGGTTGACAAACCCCGTTACAATGCAACCAAACAAGTAATTTCTCATTATTCACAAAGTCTGGAATTGCCATACTGAATGCTTCAAATAGGTTCTACAGTCACAAAGCATTTCCTAAACGTGTTAAGTTTATGATTAGTTAATAGAACACATATACATGTCCCAAATTCCTAATTTACAGTACATATACCTATTTCTTTAATGTTATAACAAATCAGAGTTTCTAAGACACTAATTGCTTAATGTTTACTGAGGTGAATGAAGCACTCTTCCAAATTATGTCAATCCTCAAACTCTTTCCTGAAGATAAAAATGGAAGAAGAGAAAAACTTAAGTAACTTAGCTGCACTCACAGATAGTCCCAATTCCTTGTGAGAACAGGAGGGAACGTTCCTCCCATCAGCCTGTCAGTCCACAGGTTAGCCCCTATCTTTTATTCAGCCAAATACAAAGGCACTTCAAAAGTTACTTTAATAGCATTTAAACCAAGACTGGTGGAGGCCTATTTCATCCCAGCACCATGTTCTTATGCAGCACACCAGAACCAAGCATGGGCACATGTCCTCATCCTACAGTAACCAAGCAGCAGAAACAGGAGGAAAGAAACCATAAAGGATATTCTGAGAGTCAGATATCTCAGACAATAAACTTGCAGTTTTCACATGACTGACCTACAAGCTGCACTCACAGAATAGATCATCAGTGACACTCAAAGCATATACTTTGTTTTGTTCATCTTAATAATGAGCCAGTTCATTACCAGATAAAACATAACTGACAGCTGATGTCCCCAAGTAGCTCACTTAGATACACGAAGAAACCTGCACATGTACAACTCAATCAAAGGATATGACTGTGAACAAACTAAGAAAAATTCCATCGGAACTACTCTACTACAAGGACATTTCCATGAGATGGCACAGGAGCTTATATTCTAATTATAGGCTGATTTCTTCCTCTGAATCCCAGAACTCTGAAGGAGCACCCAAGCCACACTCAGGCACCCCCGTAGTGGGCACCGGTTGACGGTGAGTGGAGAGGCACTGGCATTCATATCCCAAAGCGTGGGGCTTTGGGCAGTCCAGGCAGAGTGAGTGGCAGGAAAAGGGCTCCCATCTGGAGGTGCCTACCCAACACCTTGGGGACTCTTCACTAGCCAAATCACTGGGAAGCTCTCCTGAGTGATGTGCTTATCCAAAGAAGGGATGAAATGGGTGGAGCTAAACTACAGTTGAGATTCAAGAGGCCTGTGAAACTAACACACAGCCTATTAGACCTCCAGCAGGGAAAGAAGGCAGTTGGGGAAGGCAGCCTAAGCCATGAACCAGAAAAACAATGACCCCGTCATCCAAGACAACTTCCTAATTAATGGCTAAGAGCAAAGCATTGCTATGGATAAAGGCAGATTTCCAAATTACCAAGGTGCAGAAATATTCATGTGCCTTGTGGGATTTAAACCCTGCCTCCACTTATCTACATTTAAATAGGTCTGTAAATAAAAACGCACAACAAAATTTCCAAACATAAAGACTTCATTTTTTTTCTCCCTCTGCAGTAAAATATATTCTGTTCCAAAAAAGAAGAGTTGCTCAATGTCCTGTCAAAGGCAATCCAGAGAAGCCACCTACACTATAAAAGCAGCAAGAAACAAAATGCTAAAGAAAATCCTGCATGTGTGGGAGTGTACTGAGTGCACTGTAACTACCATTCTGAGTTTTTTAAAGCTGCTTTCCTTGATCATTCTGAGAAATATGGAAATCAGTGTAACTTCTAAAGTGAAGTTTGTCTTCCAACCTATCTAAGGAAAACAGCCTTATGCTGGATTTTAGTCCACTAAAGAAAGAAAAAGTGGCAGGGGTGGGGAAGTGGGGGGCGGGGTGGGCATCCAATGCCTTTTAACCCATAGTTTTCTAAACTCTATTTCTAGGGTGGATACAAATGTTCCCTGGGAAAGAAGGCTACTCCTTTCCCTGTAACTGTCTTACCACCACCCTTCATGCCCCCCAAATTTTAGATTGGGACCAGCTTGGCCTCAATATGCTTAATCCTAAACATGTGGGAGCTAACTATCCACACTGAAGTGAACTGACTAGATGACGAAGCAGTACAGCTATCTCCTACTCTTCCTCTCAGTTTCCCTATGGGGCTTATGCTTTCTGAAACGATAAATTCTGAGGTAGCAATCAACCAGTCCAACAATTCTTACTAAAGTCTACAAAACATGAGGTAGCTGAGGGTGGTGGACAAAGAGAAAGGAAAGACCTTGAACAGTTCATCAGCAAACTGAGGAGAAAAGAGTGGCATTCGCATAACAATTAAAATACAGGTCATCGCTTTGACTTGGAACACAGTGGGGCACCCTATTTTCATAAGCCACACTTTCCATTGAAGGCAGCACTGTGTGAGCTGGGAAATATACATGGGTGAAGGCAAATAATCAACAGGGAAACTATACCAATGAATTAATAAAAATCAGCCTACTAAACCAAGATTCAACGAGAAGCCAGGCAGTTGCAAACCAGAGAGCAGACCCAAGCAAACCTTTCAGCTACACAAATGATTCATTTGCTTTTGAGCTACCAAATCAATCAGCAGGAGATTTTTCTATTTTATTTTTGCTTAGTAATAATCTTAGATTCAAAAAAAGTTTGCAAGACTAGTACAAGTTACTTTAATTCTGTGATCTACTTGAGAGTAACAAGCCAGCGTGCTGGCCTCTCTATCACCCCTGCAAAGTTTAGTGAGCAATTTCTGCAGGAAGGGCATTCTACAACACCACATTATTTATGACCGTCTACATCCAATTCAACACTGAAATAGTAACACCCATGCCCTGACCTACAGATGAGCTTTACCTGTCTCTGCCAGCTTTACTCTGTCTCAGCAATGAACGTCCCTGAAATAAAGGCACCACGCCAGACTCTTGCACCGCTCTTCGCTTTGCGCTCTCACTATCCACTTCACTGAGACCTCCTAGGCTCTCCTTGACAGTTGATCTCCACAATTCTGAAGACTCCATGTCAAGATGCTCCTCAATTTAGGTTTGGCTGATGCTTCCTTATGATGAGATTCAAGATACGAACTTTCAGCAGGAATATCACTGAAGAATTCCTCTGATTCTGCAGGGAGCACACTATTTCATTTTTTTTCCACAGCTGGTAAATGTCTCTTTGATCAAGGTGGTACCTGCCATATTCCACATTGTAAAGTTCCTCTTTTTCCTTTTGTAACTAGAAGTATTTTGTGGGGTGATATTTTAAGACTATATAAATATTCTATTTCTCAGCAAACCCAATACATTTAGCAGCCACTGATAATTCTTGGCAAACTTAACTATTCTTTGATAGTTGCCAAAAACTGATTTTCTAGTCTGGGTGTGCATCTTACACAGGGCCCCACTGTTCCTGGGTCATCTAAGTGAACAGAATCACAGGTATGTGTGCACACATACACACTTCTTTCTTTCTGGATCTGTCTACATTTACTGAAAAACAGTTCAGATAGGTACCCTGAATTCCAATCTAGCACCACAGGGTTCATTGTAATTTTTACCTTTTCCTTTATAACACCGACTACGGCTCCCATTAACCTCAGTTTATTTACTTCTGGGAGTCATCCTCCCACGTTCCATAATGCTATTCCCTACCTGTGATCTACTGCAGTATCAGAAAATGTTCTCTCTAACAAAAACACCAATAAGGAAGATGTCTGAACAGACAAGAAATCACTCCAACTCCAGTAGAACACCACAGAAAACTTTGTAATCTCCTGTCCCCCACTCCCATCACCTAACCCCAACCCCTCTCACATCAGCAAAGGCCCTGAAGAGAGGCAAATGCATTACACTTACCTGTGTAAGTGTATATCCAGTCTCTCACTATGTAACATGGTCCCATCTGCACAAAGTCTAAGCGGGCAATGCTAAAAATATACTGCTTACAGATACATTCATTTTTAAAAGCAAGGGGATGTTGAAGATAAAATTCAGGGGCAGTGGTCACCTCCAAAGGGAAGCAAGAGGATGGGATCGCAAAGGAACACACAGCAGCTTACAAGTACTGATGGCGGTCCAGCTCTTAATGAGACCCGCCAGTGCTGAGCCCGCTTCCTTGACATGTGCAATTAGTGTCTGACCAAACCCAGAGGG